GAGTCATGTAAAAACATTTACAGTTATGTTATAGTCATTACCCAACCTATATTCAACTCCCCACCCCCCCGGATACTTTTTATACACCCGACCAAAATGTCCCCCCGGATACTTTTTATACCCTGACCAAAAAGTACCCCCCTATGAAAAATCTCATATTTCTGTGTTTTTTTTATACAATTGAGTTCAGAACTTGAACAGGACATCACAGGGGAATATTTATCCACCCCTACCCCACCAATTTATTAAAGACTTTGTTTCTGTTAAACATGAATAAATATTAAAACACTTAATTGCATTGGTTTGTTTTATATGCTGTTTTTAATCAGGTGGTGAAACCTTATCCTTATTAGCAATATTCATTCAATTTCAAATATATCATAGTTGTATTAGTTTTTAAATAGATTAATTATATGTGTTGATAAAGAAAAATGGTCGGGTTGTATAAAAAGTATCCGGGGGGTGGGTAATGACTATAACATAACTGTAAATGTTTCTACTTGACTCTCCAAACGTAATTGTGTCCAGCGATTGAAAATTATTTTGGCATCATTTCCTGGCCCCGGGGGTGGGGATTGGTGGGGTAGGGGTGGATTAATATTCCCCTGTAATGTCCTGTTCAAGTTCTGAACTCAATTGGATAAAAAAAAAGAAGAGAAAAATCATTTTTTTATAGGGGGGTCCTTTTTGGTCAGGGTATAAAAAGTAACCGGGGGGTACATTTTGGTTGGGTGTATAAAAAGTATCCGGGGGGTGGGGAATTGAATATAGGTTGGGTAATGACTATAACATAACTGTAAATGTTTCTACTTGACTCGATCCCCAAACGTAATTGTGTCCAGCGATTGAAAATTATTTTGGCATCATTTCCTGGCCCCGGGATGGGGATTGGTGGGGTAGGGGTGAATAAACATGCAACTGTAACGTTCTGATCAACTTCTGAACTGTTCTTGATTAAAAATTTTGAAACATTTGGTTTTTTCATAGAGGGGTACTTTTTATACAGGGGGGGTACTTTTTGATAGGGGTATAAAAAGTATCCGGATACTTTTTATTCTGCATAAAAAGTATCCGGATACTATTTAAGCAGGAGGTACATTTTATGCATGACACCGGGTTCAAATCCCAAGTCTAGCCATTGTAGTTTTCCATGGGACACCATGCATTCCACAGCCTGCTTGCCGTGGTATATACATATTGTTTATTATACATGTTAGGTACATGAAATCAGAGGTTATCACATGGTATGCCGTTCTCATGTGCACCCCCACATGCATTAAAAACTCTGTTTTCACAGAGTTAGTGCACTTCAATTGTACATGTAAGAATGAATTAATCAATGAAGTGTAACTCGCTCAAGAGAAAAAATCATGCTGACAACATATACTACAATGCAGCGCAGGCACCATTAGGGGTAATGTTAGCGTTGGGTGCTCTGTATCACTTATTTAAAGAAATGAAAATAATGCAAATTTTATTAATAGAATAAGTCACCAATGTAGAAGGTTTATTTATGACTTGCACGCATCCCATGCATGTGTTCTAGAGGTAATTGATGTGTAGCTTGCAATGATGACCACTTGCGGAGATGGGAACTTGTGAAAGTCTAACACCAACAAGACCCAGTCTTAGTTGTGGATATATATTTCTCCCACCCTTCCTAGGTGTCCCCCTTTTAAGCTGGGAAAGATCCGCTTGTCACCCCCTAGGGGAGATAGCCTCAAGCAGAATAGCGCTATCTAAGTCATTACAATAGCATGACGTCACGTCATCAGTGTCAGACCATGGAAGACAACTCTGGATTCGCTTGTCGCGCCCTAGGGGGAGATAGCCTCGTGCAGAATAGTGCGATCTAAGTCATAAAGATAGTATGACGTCACGTCATCAGTAGCAGACCATGGAAGCTTCTAGACAATTGCGGATTTGTTGGAAAAACGTGCAATCAATTTCATGCAATCACTGCTTGTCAGCGAATTTGTCAATGAAACAGGATAAGAGAAAAACAATCATCCCCTTCCTTGAGGGTGTGACAGAGAAATCTCAAACCCTCGGGATGATATTCTCGAATGTCTTACCTTCAGCAAAGCCACGGGTAACACAATGAAGAATATCATCCCTCAGGTTGGAGATTTATCTGTCACACCCCCAAGGTAGGGGGATATTCTATAAGTGAAAATATCTCCTTTAAGGACTTAAGGCCTACCAAGGATTATGATTCATACATCATTGAGTTTTCAATAAATATACATTGACATTTTAGAATTATTCTTTGTCATCTGTAATTATAGGTTTCACTGCAGCACAGAAATGAATTTTATACATATTGAAAAGTGAAACAATATTTAGAAATCTATTTTTGTTGTGATGGAGTGAAGACAGATCGAATTAGCACGTGACACACCATTTTATCAATTAAGGCAATTTTCGAGGTTAACCTGCATGGCGTTGTATATACAAACATCAGCTGAGAGGCACAGAGTTTCAATCCTATAAAACATGTTCATATATAATTAAGTTGATGTTAGGCTGCATAAATCTCTTTACTTCCAGTCTATTTATCAGTTTATCACTGATCTCCTGTTTCCTGAGTATGATCGAACAATACAGCAAATATTCCCATTAAAGTGTCACCTACAATGTACTTATCTATCGCCATGACAATCATGCAGTAGTTACTGGTAATCCGGTATAAAATACACAAATGTAAGTCATAACTGGTATCTGCATGAACAACAACATTTTATTCAAACTTAATTTGCATAAAGCTGAACTGTATCAAATAGCTTTTTTAAATAAATTCAAATATAATGGTGCTTATAACTAACTATAAATATTTAATTTGCACAATTTAAAACCTTTTTAACAACATTATAGAATCATTATTCAATCTAACATATTTTTTTACCTTTCTTAACAGCTGAATTCATTTACACCACAAGACACATTTGAACATTTGAACTCTTCCCATTCAAAGGGAAGAAGAGTTCATTATGAAATTTTAGGTGTGAATGAGTTAATGCTCTTTCACCGATCCGATTCCCTCACAAAATCAACTTTAATCTGACAATTATTCATGAAATGTTAAATCTCAAAATGTCATATCATCTGATTTTGCTGTGGTATTTTGAAATTAAAATCATCAGTTATGCAGACATAATTAATGTGGAATGAGGAAGAGTTGACAAGCTAGTTTGATTACAATCTGGTATAACTTTTGAACGCATATATCCGATCTGTATTCATCATCTTTCAAAAATGGATACTGTACTACATGATATTTGATTGAAAAAAAAAATATAGAAATGCAACAGTTTAAAAAGTAAGTTTAAAAAAAACATGCTATCATTGTACAATATATACTAGCTGCAAAATTTTGCTACTTCTCTTCAGCTCAAGTGGAAATATCTAACTAGTAGTAGTAGTAGTAGTAGTAGTAAATCCCTCCTCTTGTAGGATAATCTGGCACCAGAATGAACATACAGCTTCACGAGCTGATAAACTATATTTGTAGCTAGAGACTTTGAAAAACTAATGACCTCTGTAGCATCATGGACTAAGATAATTCCGTGGTTATATGTATAATTTAATTATCATGCATAGAATTTATATTTATGTAGCATATGTGGAATGGAATTATATTTTAAGAATTGTCTGATACCGTTATGGCGGTCAGGTTAAACTAAAATTCTAGGCCTACTCATATAATTTTCTGACATTTTCGACGTTGAAAAAGTACCGACGATATCATTAGATCTGATATTTACTTCCCGAATGTGAACAAATCAATGTCACTGCTGAACACGTAAAAATCAATAATTAATCACAAGTTGCAAAATATTCCACGTAGCCTTATCTAAGACTAGGGGTGAAACAACGCTGGCAAACAACGTACGCCGCGAAAGGGGGTGTGTCATACGTAAAAAAGTTTTTTTTTATAAGATTTCAATAATTACACAAGTTTAAAAATTGAATTTCCTGACGAGTTTTGAATATAATACTTACCTAAATATACCACAGTTAGACAATCATGCATAACTCGGCGACAGGTGTGTTATCATAGGTAAGCCGATTGAATATGCACCTGTAAAAGCACAGACAGGTAATTTAAATCACCCTTAAGTTTTTTACCTTGAAGCTAGAGAGCGGTATAACAAGAACAGTAACTCCGTATGACACTATATATATATGATGTAGTCTACATGAAAATAATGCAAACATATCGAATGCGTTTTTTGTTTTGTTTGATTTATTTATTTGTTTATTCCTTTTTAATTAAGATATTTTCACAAATTCTAGCAAATCAGAACCATATATATACCTGAACACGAACTTTCAGTGATGCTAGAATATTCATCAAAAACAAAGTTGTTCGATCACCGTCTATTTAATTAAAATCGGGCAATTAAAATCCTGCATAACCAGTAAATCTGTATAAACAAGACATGATACACAATACGCCTGTTCATGTGTAGGTAATTATAACGTTTCTAAGTAAAGTATAACCAGTGTTGATTTAAACTAGACGTAGCGACATCTAATTCCGTGATATACGTCTATAGTGATAGGCCTACATGTAGATGTACCGTTACATATTGTACAAGTACAAATGTTTAGCCTTATTTAATTTAAAGATTAACATTTGAAAACACTTGTGTATTTTACACATACAAAGTATTGTTATGAAATCATTTTTTCACAGGTCGACAAGATCTTATACAAACTTATCCTACATTAGGAAACCGCTTTAATAGCCTACTTTAACTCGAGCACATTTCACAGAAGTTATCATTTCTTCTTGATAAAAAGTACATAAATGTCACACGAGTGATAAATTCCACAAATACATTTTACAATATATAAATATATATGAATTAGCAGTTGCATTCTGAATTATTAGTCAACTTACTTGGTAAAATGTAACAATTAAAAATACATACGTAAAACCACGGAATTAGATTAGAAAGTCCGTGGTAAAACTAACCATACTTTTGCGGTTGATAGCGTAATACGGTATAATTGTAATATGATCACCAGGGTCAAACACTAGGAATTAGGCCTAACACACTACAGAAAATGTAAGTGTGAGTCGATCGACTGGTACAAACATATGTAAATATGGTCCTAAACAAAACTGAGACAAGTAAAAACCGTACAGGTTTATCAAGGTACGTTGGGTCGATCGTTGGGTTGAAGATAAGCGACCTATTGAATTGGTCGATGAGACATCACGTACATTGTAAGTATTTCTTTCTTTTTTTACTTCCTCAGTATAGTTTATATGATAAGCCGCACAGGGACATGAGAATTATATTAGAAGATTAACACATGAAATATATGGCATTTTATAACTTACCCGTTTAACGACTCATGTCTCTGTAGTTCAATAACTCTAATCTACAGTGTGCTCTCGAACTATCACAGGGGCCTCGGGAAATGGAATTGGCACTCTTATTTATGTGAGTTGGATGTTTCAACCGATAATGACACTTTTATTGTCAATTTTATTTTATTAACGATATCAATCCCGTCTCTCGCCCAAAATTGAAAAAAAATCTCATTCAAGACTAATTCGGAATGGCCATAGCACAATTCCTTGAACACAGGGACGTGAGAATCAAGACATGCTGTAGGATAAACTCATCTTTGTACAATATTAAATTATGACAACACTCTTTCGTAAGTAACAGTAAGATATTTGTGTGAGGTAAGTTCAAACATTATTTTTATGTTTAATATATATATTACTTTGTCCACAGTTAACAAAAATACACATTGATAGACTGGTATTAAGAACGAACCCCCAAATTGCTTTATTTCACTTGTTAACAAGAGGCACAGATGGCCTGTATCGCTCAGCTGGATATCTAAGCAATCATGGCAAAACATTCTCAAAATAAGATCCAAGGGAATTGGCCAGACCGCTAGGCCAATCCTTGTAGCATATCTGTATTAGATTTTTCATACCCAACAATTGTATGTATGGTTATAGGGTCAGGATCTCAAATGTTTCAAAGCTGTGACCCATGAACTAGGTCCATAGGGTTGTGGCAAGGGGTTAAGTCTGCAAGGGTGGGGCAGACTCCGGGGTCAATTATAATATCATGAATTCATTCATCTCTTTATATTCAGCAATTGTATATATGGTTATAGGGTGGGGATCTCGACAATTTCCAAGTAATCAACTATTTTTGGCCCCATCCCTTAGCCCGGGGGGTCAGCCCCATCATTTGTACACTTTTGAATCACTGCCTCCAATGGATGCTTCCAACCAAATATGATTGATATCCAGTGCAAAGTTCTACAGAAGAAGTCGTTTATAGCAATGAAGCCAAATTACCCTCTTTTAGACACGCCCCTCAGCCTCCTGGGGGGTCAGCCCCACCATTTGTACAATGTTGAATCCCCACTACCTAGGGATGCTTCCAGTCAAATATGGTTGATATCAATCTCTTAATTCCAGAGAAGAATTCCGGACGGACGACGGACGCCACGGTATGGCATAAGCTCACCTTAGTCCGTCGGACCGGTATGGCATAAGCTCACCTTAGTCCGTCGGACCGGTATGGCATAAGCTCACCTTAGTCCGTCGGACCCGGTGAGCTAACAATGAAAGCTCCAGATTGCAATACATCTATTGAGTTTTGAAACTTGATATGGCGCTTAGTTAATTAGCCATGTCTCGTGACTTGTAACAGGCAAACAATTACACAATTTTGTTTCCTTATGGCAATGTCACACATGATTGAATGGTCTACTTAAGCGACGAGAAATCCCTGCGCTCTGTAGATATTATACATAATATGTAAAAGTTTAAATTTTAGTTTTGATAGATACGAATAAGACAACAGGGTACGACCTTCCATTAATCCTGAGGATATATGCAACATTGAGTTTTACGAACGCTTAATTCCAAATTATGCAAAGAATTATGATATTCGGGGTAGCACGCACTTCCAAGGACTTGTCCGCGAAGTTTCGGCCTTCAAACCATAAATTGTATCTATTTATTAATCTGAGTTATAGTTGAAATAGCAATGCATTTTGATTCGATTTTTTTCAAAAATGTAATTCTCAGAAAATACTAATGATTTTGAGTTTATTAATACAGGTAAATTTCAAATACGAAATTTTCTGTTTAAATTTTATTTTCCGATTGCCCCCCTTTGGATAGTAAAATATCACACACGGGACACTGCGAACGTGCGATTGGTCAATAACGGAGTGCGTACCTGTGTGGTACGTGTACCACTTCCCTGATCTATGTATAATTCATGGTAGATCAATCCCTGATAGATTTATCAACAGGTCTCAGCGCCAGATTGACCTCGGCTGTCAGCATGTTTAGCTTCTCTTGATCATGAAAATCAATGGGTAGCAGTAGAATAAAGTGAGTTATTTAGCATAGTGCAGGCCCCACTGGACCTCCTAGACCTCTCCCACTTCACCCCGCACGCCACAACCACAATCCAACCCAAATCGCCAACTTCCAACCCGCACCTTAGAGGGGAAACATATTCTGACTCAAATACACTATATGGTCAAGGTGACGCTTCCCAACTTCAATACTTGATTGGTTCTCAACTTCGCGTTACAGGAGGCAATACTTGATTTAGTGCATCATATAAAGTTCCATTTTACGCAACTATAACGTCCGGTGCAACGAAGGACCTGGATTCAGAGATATTTGTGTATCATTTTAAAATAACACATACAAACAAGATCGATTATTGCAGGCATCCTCCAAAATTCCTACTAACCCGTTATCATTCATTTCAAGTTATCAGGGGTGGATCCAGGGATTCCGAAATCAATCCTTCCCGGAATTGTTTGCGTTACACTCCATCTCACCTCAACAGACGTATCACTGACTGTATCAACTGACCCCCTGAGACACAAAACAACAGAGGTCAAATGGAGGCTAACCCAAGAAACCCTAGGAGAGACTTATTGCGAAAGGTGGGGATACTCCTTATTGGGGCATCCAAATGTTAGTTCACATTCTTCCCATTTTATTTCAAAAGGAGGATGGGGTGTTTCTGGACACCAAAGTCCATTAATCTTTGACATGCAAATAAGTTATTATTATCATAAGACATGATATTGTTCTTAATTGTCTTAAACAGATCATCAGCACAATGATGTCAAACATGTCACACGGTGTTGAACATAATAAGGTCATGCAGGGTCACAAGGTGGTATTGACAGTCTATTAACCAAATAACGTTATACATGGTCACACGTTAGTCTTAACAGACTATTAACACAATAACGTTATACAGGGTCACACGGTAGTCTTAACAGTCTATTAACGCAATACGGTTATACACTGTCACGAGATTATTTTAATGGTCCATCAACGCACAGGGATCATACAGGGTCATACGTTAGTCTTAACAGCCCATCAGCACAATCAGGTCATTCAGGGTTACACGATAGTCTAATTAACGGCCCATCAACACAATCAGGTCATACAAGACCACACGGTAGTTTTATTGGCTCATCAACACAATAAGGTCATACAGGGACACACGGTAGCACTAACGGCCAATCGACACAATAAGATCATACAGGGTCTTACAATATTATTAACAACCCATTTACACAAGTAGGTCGAGGTCATACAGGGTCACACAATATTCTTAACGGTCCATCTACGCAAGGAGGTCATACTGGGTCACACGGTAGTCTGAACGACCCATCGACACTATCGGGCCATACAGGGTCATACGGCCCATCTACACAATGAGGTCATATAGGGTCACATGATAGTTTGAACGGCCCATCGACACAATACTGTCATACAGGGTCACAAGGTAGTCTTATTGGCTCACCGACACAATAACGTCATACAGGACCACATGGTAGTCTGAACGGCCCACCAACACAAAGCGGTCATACAGGGTCACAAGGTAGTCTTATTGGCTCACCGACACAATGACGTCATACAGGACCACACGGTAGTCTGAACGGCCCACCAACACAAAGAGGTCATACAGAGTCACATGATTGTTTTAACAGCCCATCAAAATCGATGTGATCATACAATAACAGCCCATCAATACAAAAAGGTCATATAAGGTCACATGATCTTCTTAACAGCCCAACAGCACAATGAGGTCATACAATAACTGCCAATCAACGCAACGGTGTATTATAGTGCCAAGGACTACCTTGAATTGCTGAGTGACTATAAAAGACAATTACAAATTCAAAACAGGGAATCATAGACAGGGAGATGGAATGATACTTATTGAGAGTCAAAACAGATTCTGTATTTTCCGTGATAGCGAACAAATAGGAGATGATCATGAATTCCACTGCTTACAAAACTGTTGATCGCTCTGCGATTATAGAAGTTATTTTTAAGTAAGACCAAACATTATTAGATTTATTGAACTTCTTATTTCAAGAAAAATACGAACTCTGATAATTGAAAATAATTTTAAAAGAATCTGTACTCTTTAAGAAGGCGGAATTGTTGACGTATCGAAATTTACAAATTACCTAGTGATTAGGACATTTTTTAAGCAGACCAAGCGCTGGGCACCAGCTAGCACATGGAACTGATTTTCAAAACGAGGCCACCGTAAAGCAATATTGGCAAAGCTATAAATTACGAAAATTCACCAAGGTGGCGAACACAAAAAAATATCTATAATTAAATGTACAAGTAATTATAAATAACACTTTCTATTACCCCTTTGAAAAAAATCTAGGAATCTAATTGGTTAAAAAACTACAGTGTACCAAACCGCATTCGTAAATCTCAGGGGGTATACGAAAATATCATGGTTATACGGTCATGTCACGTGATTCTCAGCAGTAATACGGTGGAATCACGTGATTTTACAAGGGGTATACGGGTCACGTGTTTTTGTATCTTCCGACCGTGCATCGGGAGACAACTCGCATTCGTCGTCAGTTTCGCTGTATACAAAATGGCAAAACGTTTCGCTTCGCATACTGATGAGGAAATACTCGCCAAAAGGGCTAACTATGTGCCACATAACACACAAAAGTCGAACAGACGAGCGTCAAACATGCTGAGGACGTATTTAAAAGAAAAGAATCAGGAAGAACAGTTCGAGGAATTTGATAAAACGAAACTAAATGAGGTACTGCGCCTGTTATTTTTCTTTGCTTTTATTGTAAAAGACTCAAAGGGGTAATACTATTAGTTACACGGACTTTTGGCAGGGTATACGGGATGGTATGACCCTACAGGATTTCGTATTT